AATTTAATCTCAAAATTAAAATAATCTAAAATATTAAAATAACTAAATATAAATAATTAAAATATAAATAAAGAAAAAATTTAATAGAAATATTACATAAATAAAAATAACATGGTTTTAATAAAAATATTTAAACCAAACAATTAAATATAGCAATATTTACAATAAAATTATTTTTTATATGGTTCAGCTTTATTAGATTTAATTAATTGTTCTTTTGAATTTCTTTTTTACATTTTTTTTTAATCTCAAATTTTTTTTAACTTTGAAATTAAATTTTTCTCAATGTTTTATTTCTTTTTTATTATATAATATTTAACTTTTATGTTATATTATATTCTGTTATATTCTTTTCTTGTGTTTATGTATATTTATTCATTATTTATATATTATAAAATTAAATTCTTTTATATGCAAATAAAAGAGAAGAATTTAACATTGCAATACATAAATAATGAATACATAAAGGGATATATAATATAAAAATTACTTATTATAATATAAAAAGAATTAAAACAAGAAGAAGAATTAAATCTCAAAAAAAAAAAAAAAGAAAATTTAAAAAAACTAAAACATAAAAAGAAGTATTTAACAAAAATATTATTCTAATTTAGGTAATACACAAAACATTTAAACAAAACAACTAAATAGCAAAATTTACAATGGTAAATTCTTTTTTATATGCTAAAGCTTTATTAGATTTACTTAATTATTATGTTTTAGTTTTTTTAGACTTTGTTAACTTTAAGATTAATTAATTTCTCTATTATATTCTCTTTTTATGTATTTTGTGTATTTATTCATTATAAAACAATATAAAATATAAATATAAAAACATTTAAACAAAACATAACAAAATTTATAATATTAAATTCTTTTTTATATGTTGCAGCTTTGTTAGATTTACTTAATTATTATGTTTTAGTTTTTTTAGACTTTGTTAACTTTAAAATTAATATTTTAAAACTTTAAGATAACATAGTAGAAGAATTAACTTCTTCTACTATATTAAAACTCTTTTTATTTTATAATAGTTAACTTCTATATTATATTCTCT